CATATCTGCCTTAATTTCCTTAAAGGTTTCCTTATTTGTGTTTTAATGTGTTCAAAGTGATTCTCAGTCCTCCCAGCAGTACCTGGTGAATATCACATGATTACAAATAAAAAGAGCTTATTCTTTGCAGATGAAAAATGCATTTTCTTACAAACACCAGATCATGTGCGTGACTGTATTTACATGCATGCACATTTTCGTGATTGTATGTTGAGGCTTATTCATGTGATTTTAAACTGCAAAGATTTCCTTAGTTGTTTTTATTATCATAATTTAATCCTTGGAATATAAAAATGATTTATGTGAGAAAGTAGAGTGCCTCTGGATCAAGTATGTGCAACCTATTGCATGGTACCTGCTTGAGCAGAGGGCTTGGACTCAATGATCTCTTGAGTTCCCTTCCAACCTCTGTGATTCTGTAATTCTGTGAAGTTAAGGTTATTCTTAATGATCCAAAAATATAAACTTAGGAAATAGTAAGAGTTTGGATTAATACTGACCATAATATAGATATTAGTAAAATGCTATATAGGCTTTATTTTGCTTGACAAAGCAAGTCAGTAGATACCGTGAACAGATTTTGTGCTTTGAAAATTTTAAAGATGCATGTGACAAGAGTGGAATAGAACACAATAATTCATTTGGAAGGGGCCTTCAAAGATCATCTAGTCCAACTACCTGACTACTTCAGAGCTAAACAGAAGTTAAAGTGTCCAAACACCTCTTGGACACTGACAGATACACCTGTCAGAGTGAGCAACCACCTCTCTAAGAGGTCTGCCCCTTGGTTTTACCACCCTCACAGTAAATAATTTCTTTGTTCTTTCTAGCCTGGATGCCTAATATTAAATGGCAATGTAAACCATGCAGTTAATTAAATATTTTGGGTTTCTTTTTGCATGTTATTTTTAATTCAGAAACAATTGCAAGTGGCATTCTAAGCTTTTAGGTGAAAAATACTAGTTATCCCAATTTTTTTAATTTTGCAGAGTTCTGTGTATTGTGTAAACAGGCTTGGATAGATGTACAGGTAAATTCCACAGGTAATTGTCTATTCTTATCGCTCCAAGTCTGTATTGAACTTTCTTAAAATTTTGTTCAAAACAAGAACATCAACATACATTAATTTGCATACGTTACAATAAAATACTTCTCTAGTTGTATATTGGTACAGCAATCATATTATATAAGTACTTTTATTTGAATCACAAATGTGTTGAAACACAGGTTGTTTAATGTTGTCCTATTGAAAGGGTAGTCTAAAAGATCAAAATCAAAATGATAATCTTAAGGAAAATAAAGCTCTTCCCTAACATTACTGAAACAATTTTGGAGAATAAAGTAAAATGATGCTTTCACTGACTGATCACTGACAGGCAGATAGTAAGGTTAGCTGCTTGTCTTAGTTTTGGCTGGGGTGGAATTGCTTTCTCCATAGTGTCTGGTGCGGTGCAATTTTTTGGCTGTAGAAGAAAAGCAATGTTGTTAACACACCTATGTTTAAAGTTATTGCTAAGCAGTGTTGTACAGATCCAAGGCTGTACTGTTTTCTCAGCTCATACTAACAAAGGGATGGTAGGGGACAGAATCAGGACTACTGACTTGAACTGGCCAAAGGTATATTCCATGGCATATGATGTGATGCATAATGAGTGTTTTGAAGGGGGTGGGAGATCACTGCTCTTTTCTGCCTGTTGGGTTAAACCACAACACTGCTGTTGCAAAGAAATGTAACTTTATAATGGAAATGCAGTCTAATTTGCTGCATGTTGGTGGAGGAAATTTGTCACTTGATTTTGTTTTGACTATATCAGGATTTTTTAGACTGCTTTTCCAAAGCACCTGCTTTGTTGAGTAACCGTAACTTAAATTAGGCATAGCTGTTTGTGAAGGCGTGCAGTGAACCATGAGCTGATCTGGTTGAAATAGCAAACTTAGCAAACAGAATATTTTTACTCAGATAATTCAGTCCTGTGTTGTGTCACAGCCCTGTGGATGCTGACATTCGTGCTACATGATTCAGGAAGAACTATGCAGAGTATCCGAGAATCTGACAGTAGAGGGCTGAAACTGTTTCAGCTGATTTTTCATAAGAAAAAAAACGCTCAAGAAAAATGCCCCCGGGGTCTTAACAAAGACTCAAGTGATGCTAACCCAGTGAAGACTGAGGGGCACAGTCATCCTGTGGAACAGCATCTGGCCTAGCGGCGCGTATCAGTGACTGTTCAGTTCAAGGACTGCTGTGCAGACTTTTGAGCTGGAGGGAATTGGCAATTTCTTGTATCTTTCGTACTACAGAGCACTGTAAAGAGTTAGGAATTACACTGTTCATTTTTTTATACCTTTCTGGATTTCTCCATTTGCCATATTGGCGTGCATTTCTGCTACAAAGAAGAGCGCTCCTTGCTGCAAACCAGAGTATATTTTTTATTCAATTTATTTGTTGCAACTCTTTTTAAAAAATGTAGACCCCATTTGCCTGTCACCAATGCCTTGTGCAGTCATTTATAGCAGTGAAGAAAGAGCAGATTGGTTTTCTACACCAAGTTTTCACTCAATTTAGTTGAACGCAAATGGCCCCACAAAGTGCAAGACTCAGGGAGCAGCAAGCAGTGAGTACATCTCTTTGCATTAAATAAGGCTTTGAAAGGCTCTTGATTTCATAGCTAAATGATGGATTCAGCAGATGGGGTCAGATTGCTTCAGTAACAAACAAACAAACAAACAAAAAGTAGAATGACTAATTCCAGGTTGCAAAAATGGGAAGTGAAGGATCTATGAAAGAAACGTGTTTTTTCCTCCTGTGCCAGTGTTCTCCAAGCTCTAGAGAAAGTTTTTACTCCTTATTATCTTACTGTTATAAATATGTTTTACAAGGATGAGATTTATTCTGAGCTAAAACTGTGAAAGTTCCTCTTCTGTCACGAAGAGAAAGGATTTCAAATTTAAGTAAGAAAAAGTCTGCAATGGAAAAGGTTAAGATTTTGTAATTAATTCAATAACCGTGACTTCTTGGCATATCAGAGAGCAGGTCCACAAATGTGGAATCAGGCAAAGAAGAGGAGGGCTGATCCTCGATGTGAGGCTTCTGTTCATTTTGGTTAAATCTTGCTTGGCAATGTGCAGTACCAGAGTGTGCGCTGCAGCAGAGTGTGGGGAATGCTTATGTTCTCTGTGTTTTATTCCCACGATCTTCAAACTGCAATGATAAAATATGATAACTGACCACTAAAGCTATGAGAAATCATCAGTTAATGTTTCTAAAACATGTCACAAGCGTCAGTCCCAGTTCTAATGTCTGTCTGGATTTTTTTCTGCTGTAATGTCACAACCATTAAAATAGCTGTAGTTTGTTTCAGTAATTTTACTCAAATAAATCAGTGATGTCTTTCTGCTTATATTAACCACTTCTAAATCAGTCGTTCTCTTTTACATGGAAGTGCTCAGCATGTCAGAATGACCCATCTCACCCACCTTAAGCTATCTAAAAGTGAGGGAGTGTAGTCCAAGCTATTTGTTCTCTGAAATAGACGAAACAAAGGAACTTCAGAGGTCTCATAGAGATGTACAGTGCTGGGGGAGTGACAGAGAATCCCTTCTCCCTGTCAAGGGCTCCTGTATCTTTTGTATCTCCAGCCTGACTCTACTCTAGCTCATGTCAGCCAAGAGTTGACTTGGTCTTATTAATATCATTTCTTATCAGTCAAGATTTCTATAATGGATATGAGAAAGCATAGATTATATGTTCTGGCTGGCATCCCACTTCCTTCTGCAGCTAAGAAGACTGCTGTTCCTGGAGTTTTGCAGATAGCAGTCATGAGAAGAATCTGCAAATGGAACAGGCTTACATGTGTTTGCTTTTCTTTTTCCACCCTTAAGATGAATTTGTTACTTAAAGATCGAACTGTGACAATATTTGAATCTCTGCTAAATGAAGTGTCTCCAAGGAAAACAGTTGTTAAACATTAAGTATGAGTGATGAAAAAATGCATATCAAGTTAATACTGGGTGAGAAATGTTGTTAAGATTTCCCAGGTTTTATTTCTTCTTTTTCTTCTTTTTTTTTTTTTTTTTTTTTTTTTAAGTGTTTTGCAGAGGTATTCATAGTATGTGGCTTATTCTGTTGAATATCAGTACAGTATCAGATATAAAACCCAGGCTTATCACCTTGCAAAGTGAAACTTGAAGATATTGTTCCAATACTATCTAATCGATTACCTGGAGATAACAGGGAATGGTTTGCTGCTGCCAAATGCCTTTAATCTTCCAGAGATTGCGTATTTAGATATAAAAAACAAATGAAAAAGTTGAAGTTACTGATCCTAATTTGCTTCAGTGTTTCAATATGACAGATTGAAGGCTTCTAAGGTGACTAACAGACCTTTATGCTTTCAGCTCTGTAATTCAGCATCATTTGGGTGTTGTTTATTTACCACTTAAAAACCCTTGTTTTTGAACTGGGTGCATGTAACAGGAACAGATGCATTATTACTTGAGTTTTTACAAACTTTTGGGGAGGGGGTTGTGTTACAGTCAGCAACATTTGCAAAACAATCTGCTTCAATGTGCATGTGGAAATATTTGTAGAAGCTAATTTTTCCATTTTGCTCTGGGGAAAGTTTTCAACCTGAACACATCTGGAAATGAAAACGTTACTATCTCAGTTCACCCAATTCATTATAGTTACCTATTATACTTAATGCATTGTACAACACTGTTCAATTTTTGCAACCACTTAGCATTATTATTACAAGGAAGAGGCAGAAAACCCTTTAAAATGCTGAGTAATTGGAAAAAAATATATAAATAAAGAAGGTCTGGTTTGCTTCTGAATGTTTTAGTAATGAAGAAAAATAGAGATTCATCAAAATCCACATTGCTTATGTGAGTTCAGCATTATGGAAAACTTCTACAAAATGCAAGCACAACGAATTTCTGTTTTATCATATGTTTGTGTACGTTTTAACCCTAATTTCTGTGTTTTCTTTTTGATTTCACAGGTTTGTGAAATCAGTGGGATTGCTGAAGAGCAATTTAATAAAAACAAAAGTACGTTGATCAAAACTACACCTGAACACTTGCTTTAGTTTATACATAATAATTTTAAATGAAGTTATTTTTCTAGTATCAGCAGTACATAAGGGGAGCCACTCCGATACGTGGATGCTGTAATGCACTGAATCAGAATGCTTACTGTGGTACAGTGGCCTTAGGAAAGAAGGGTTGCTGTCACCATTTAGTATAAAGTTACTCTAATGTTTTTGTTTAGTTTTACGCTGTGCTATTTTGGATTGACATTTGATAAACTAAACTCTGCCTGACCAAAATAAACTTTGCCTAGAGACTGTATGTATTTTAACTTGTCTGAGGTTTTCTACTCCTTATATTTTTGTAAGCTTTGCTCTTTTTTAGATTAACAGACATGAAAGTATTTTTCACCCACATCTGCCAGTCTGTCCCATTCAGATCTCACAGAGAACTTGCTGTTTGCTCATAGTCACCTGCAGAGAGGGGCTGGGGGAGTGAGTGAATGAGTGTGTGCAGGGATCAGGAACAGGTGTTGCCTGTGTCACATAGCTTTGCATTGAGTTTATCTACTTTGATCTTTAAAACAAATAAGGACTGTTAAAAAGGGAACATACTGATAAGGAGTGGAACATGCATGCAGAAATAAAGTATCTAAAGGAATTTCATATGTAGAGTAAAACACTATTTACCCATATGAGTTACTGAAACAAATTTGCTGTTCAAAATAAACTAACTGATATATGCTGTATGCTTGGAAATTTAGAAGATGCTTTGGCACAGACTTCAAATGAAGGGATGTGGCAGTTGCATTTACTGATTTCATCTATGTATCTGTTAATTCTGTCAAGTGTGTTTTCAGTTTGCTTTGTCTTTATGTAGAGTTGGTTCCTGTATCGTAAACATAACAATATAATGAAAATTGCTTGCAACTATTAAAAACAGAAATAACAGATCATCTATTTGTTTAAGGAATAAAAATGAATTCTCTGTCATGCGTGTTCCATAGTGTGAAGTTTTTTCCCTGTCTCTCACACATTCAGTGCTAGCACAGAATGTATCTGATCTGTCTTAGGCATAAGCAAGTGAAATGGAAGATGTGATTGTGCTGAGCAGGCTCTTAGAATCAGAGAATCATAGAATCACCAAGGTTGGAAAAGACCTTCAAGATCATCCAGTCCAACCGTTCACCTATTCCCAATAGCTCCCACTAAACCATGTCCCTCAACACAACAGCATCCAGCCTTTAATTAATCTTGCTATATGTATCATCGTTATTTAGACTTCCTTTTTGTAAAAACGTTTAGCATACTGGAACCCCATGGGAATAGTCCCTTGAAGTTCATTGCAGGCTGGGGCTTCATTAATTAGTCATCAATAAAGAAAATCGACTTTGTTGTGTATATTTTCAACATACACATTTGCATGTGGGAGAATATGTTGCCATTGATAAGTTATAGTTGATCAGTTTTCTGCAGTAAAGCATTTTTGTGAAAGCACTTATAGTTCCAGTAGTTATAGCTATAGGTCTGGGTTATATTATTCCATAGTGACCATACTTTACTTTGCAGTTTTCATTAATGTCAAGGTAGATTTACCTTTTTTTTCCTAATTGCTTACGTTATTTACTGAAATTATATTTAATCCCTTGGGAAAAAATCTCACTGACTTTGATGGAACTAAGATTGCTCATATTTTAAGAAAGAAATCAGAATTTGGCAGCATATTAATTCTAGAAGTTCTTGCAAGCTAAAATATTTGAAATACAATTTGGACTGGTAATGCAGAGGAATTTGGTTAGAAATATGTCTGTTCATATATTTAATTATTGATTGATTGATTGATTCTAATTTTATTACATCCTGAAACATAAGACAAGGTTTATTCAGGTAGGCACAGTATAAATCCTGTTCCTGTTCTCAGTTACAGATGTAGTGTGCACCATCAACTCTCAGAAAAATTAATAACTTCACAAGTGTGAAATGTTTGCAAGTGTGGCGGGATGGTTTGACCTTCATGTGGTCCAGCTATAAAAGCTGTGGAGTCTTGGGCTCCTGAGAGCTGCCTGTTCTTGAGATTGGCTTTTTTTCTCGGGCACTTTGTAAGCTGAAGAGTCGAGTATAAATGATGAAGAATGTGGCTTCCCCCTTCCCCTCCCCCCCCCAGTATGTAAATTGGAAAACATACAGAAAATTCCACATCATTTTTTTGTTCTAGCGCTCTCATGAGACTTGAACGATCTCATGATTATTTAACACTTGTGGTTGGCAGTAGTCCCTCTAAGGTGTATGGCAAGCAACGTTGGCTGATCCTCATGCTCAGCCCAGCAACCACTGCTGGCATTGTAGAGGAGAAGCAGCCACCTGGTGCCTTGACTGTGAACAAGCTGGCAATGAAGCTCCAAGGAAGGACTGCGATGTGCTTAATAGAAAACCAGCAGCTGGGCTTAGGGACTGGGGAGAATAAACAGCAGCTGGGAAGGCTGTGCAGAAAGCAAGTGTGATAAACTTGTTTTCACCTTTGAGCTGTGGGAAGCCGTACTCATTTTCAGTTTGACCTTTCTGGCTTCAGGAAGCATTTTCCATTTGTCAGTTGCTTATGGAATAAACTCTGCCGCCTTGGTGCCTAATTGAACTGAGAGTCAGCTGTGTGAGTTCGTGTTGATGTTTCTCTACTTTGTTTGGCAGTAGTATCAAGATGGTTTGGTGTTTTTTGGGTTTTTTTTTTTTGACTCTGCACCAGGCACTTCAAAGTCATAGTTCAGTATAAGCTATGTAAAAAATGTACCTCTCTTTATCTGTAGGAAACAGTAGATTTAGTGGTTTTCAGAAGGATGCTACGTGGTTCACTGCTATTCAATTACTGCTTTTTGATGGAAGAACCACTATAAACAGATTCTTTTTTTTCCTAGCCATATGTTTACATCTTTGTTTTTAAAAGCATTTGCTAATGCAGTGATGTAGGGAAATTGTATTCTCAGTGGTACTTGTTAATGACAAAAATGAAAACGTATCTGAGTATATGAAAATGAATGTAGCTTGTCTAATAAACAGCTGTCCTGTCAAATGTCAATTTATTAAAAAAAGAAAAGGTTGTTATTGCCATGCAAGTTTCTGCTGCTTCCTTTTTAGAACTTCACACCTTTGATATATTATCTGGGTAACCATAAAAACAACCTTACTATCTCTATTCATTCCATTAATACAATGATATTAATAGCTTTCTTTCCTTACTGCTCATATCAAGTAACTTCATCACTTGACAGACTTAATGGCATGACTTCTTGCTAGCCCACTGTCTGGCTCTAAGATTAAAAGGTTCAGCAGAGGGAGAAATGGGAAGTAAATTTTCTTTGCAGAAGTTATTAAAATAAAACAATTATTTTTGGAATACTACGCAGTGGAAAATTTCTCTCAGCAAATCCTTATCTTGAAAACTTAAGCAAAAATTTAAAACCACTTACATAATAAACAGCTGTACTGTGCACATACAGTACTAACAAAACCTTCTGACCCTGTGGGAATATTATTCCTAAAAAATATATCTTTATTTGCAGTTTAGAACTCTTTCAAATTAGAGAAGGAGATTTTTCTCCTGCTCCTTGGAGTATTGTTTCAGTTATGTCTATATTTTAGACACAAAGGCAACCAAAGCACGAGAAATCCTTTATTGCAACAATTAAACTCTTGGAGGTATATGAAGAAAATGAAAGCTAAGTCACACGTGTGTATATGACAGTGTTGTTTCGTTGCCCTAGCTGTATGTAAACATACTTTACGTTTAATCACAAGAACTATTAATGTAAAATACTAAAAAGCCTTTATGTGATAGGTTCCAGTAACATGGAATTGTCTGCAGCAAGAATACTAACCATGAAGTTCATGCTTTGACTAGCTTTCTATGCCTAGTTCTAGGCTATACATACATACCGTGGACTCTTCTCTGTTTTAGGCCATAGCTCATTTTGCAGGAACTATGTAGATGTGAGTACCTTGTTTTGTAGACAGTTTTAGATAAAAGTGCAAAAGCTTGGAGTTATTTCAGTAAAGTTTAAGAATGGTTTGACAACATTAGGTAGCTTGGATATTGCTGAAATATTACACAAATCACACAGATCGGAAGGGACCTCTGGAGCTCATCTAGTCCAACTGCCTTGCTAAAGCAGGTTCCCTACAGTAAGTTGTAAAGGAAAGCATCCAGGCAGGTTTTTAATATCTCCAGAGAAGGAGACTCCATAACTTCTCTGGGCAACTTGTTCCTGTGCTCTGTTTCTCTCAAAGACTTTGTTCCAATTTGTGCCTACTGCTCCTTGTCAAGCCACTGTACACCACCAAAAAAAGCCTGACCCCTTCCACTTGACTTCTTCCCTTTATATATTTATAAACACTGATAAGCTCTCTCCTCAGTCTTCCGTTCTCCAGGCTGAACAGTTCCAGGTCTCTTATTCTTTTCTCATACAGGAGATGCTCCAGGTCCTTCATCATCTTTGGACCCAGTGATCAAGACGTGGCCACACCACGGCAGAGTAGAGGAGAAGGATCACCTCCTTTGACTTGCTGGCCATGCTCTTTTTAATGCACCCCAGGATACCACTGGTGTTCTTGGCCACAGGGCACACTACTTGCTCATGAACCTGTTGTTCACTAGGACTCCTAAGTCCTCATCCTCAGAGCTTCTCTCCAGCAGGTCAGCCCCTAATCTGTACTGATGCACACAGTTATTCCTCCCCAGGTGCAGGACTCTACATTTGCCCTTGTTGAACCTCATTAGGTTTCTCTCTACCCAACTCTCCGGCCTGTCCAGATCTTGTTGAATGGCAGCATAGTCTCCTGGTGTTCCCACCAAAGACAACTAAAGCAGGTTACTGAAGAGACACCACAGGAAAGCTAACATTAAATCTGTCATCTTTGACTTGACTGCTGAGCTACTGATCTTACTAGAGTCTTCCTCTCCCAGAAATATGCACATGTTAAGTGTAATAGGAAGTCAATCTGGAAAGGGCCTCAAGGTATCATTTAGTTGCTAACCCTCTGACAGCATAACTCCAGTAAAACCATTTCCGACAGCTTTTTATCAAATCTGTTTTAAGAATGTCTGGAGATGGAGAATCCACAGTCAAGCAGCCCCTATTTCTTTCTTATGTTTATCTTTGAAAATCACATACCCAAGTGCTTGTGCTTTTTCTTTACAGTGGTTTCTCAGGATATGATCTTCCCCCTTGAATGCATTCTTCACTTCTTAACTGCCTGCATCTTGTTTCAGTTCTGCTAACATTGAATTCAGACGCCAGGCAAAGCAGCATAGTGAAATGTTGGACCTGTAGAACCTTTTAAATTTTAAAATGATTTAAATGGGCCAAAACTTCTTGCAAGTGTTACAGACACATATACTGAAGAAGGGTTGTTGCAGATCATTACATGTGACAGGCACTGACAGCAGGACTTGT